ATTAGCTCAACCATGACGCACATGTCTTGTAAACATGTAAAGGATTGGCCACCTTTATTTCAAACTTGAAGCAATAGAATCTCCCTTGACTAAGTGGGAAAATTTCACTCATGGAAATTTTCATCTCACCATCATCGCACGTGTCTTCGATAAGCACAGATGACACACTTAAACTTCCCGAACTCTCAAGTTTGAAGATTAATGACACCTCCATCGTTGAACTTCTTACCCAAGAATCACCCTTAATCGAGTCACTAGCTAGTTGGCCGCTACCTTTGACTTTGTAGTTTCTTTTGGTTGGCATTGTTCTTCCCTCAGTTAAAAATTAAATCAACACTTGGAAAGCAATCAATATTGTAATAAAAAAGTGCAATAAGGAAATTAACAACTATCATAAGGTCATTAACCATGCACACAAAGGCGATAAATAAGTTATTCAAACATAAAATCCTACCAATATGATCTTGTTCTATCAGTATGTGTTACTTGAAATTCTTTCAAACACATAGTGGTATATCATAGACATATTGATATACCATAGATTTACTAATATGTTTTACTTAAAATTCTTTCATGTTGTAACACTAAGTAAGGTAAGGAAATTAACAACTGTTGTAAAGTAATTAACTACATGCATTAAGGCAATGAACAAGTCATTCAAACATGAAATCATATTGGTATGAGAATTTTTTTGGTCATCTTTTACTTGGAATTCCTTCAAACACATATTAGAATATTATAGACTTATCGGTATGTTTTACTTGGAATTCTTTCATGTTGTAACAAAAAAGTGTGGTAAGGAAATTAACAATTGTTATAAGGTAATTAACTGCATGTACTAAAGCAACGAACAAGTTATTTAAATATGAAATCATATTGGTATGAGCATGTTTTATTGGTATGTTTTACTTAAAATTCTTTCAAACACATTCTAATATATCAGAGACATACCGATATATCATAGACTTACCAGTATGATTTACTTGGAATTCTTTCATGTTGTAACAAACAACTACAGTAAGGAAATTAACAATTATTGTAAGGTAATTAACCATACGCACTAAGGTAACAGTCAAGTCATTTAGACATAAAATCATATCGGTACATCAAAGACATACCAGTATGAAATGTATGTTTTCTTTGTCCATTTTTTTGCATATTACTCATAGTTCTTCTTTTGTCAAATGATTCTTGTGCGGGAACTCCAGCAATGTAGGTGTCGCTAATCTTTAGATGCCTTAGTTCAAGTCCTAGAGAGATTTGAATCTCTATTTGTATTTTTTGTATCTTAAGATTTGTAATTATGATGAATAATTCTCACTTGTAATTAATTATATATAAGAGTTGGTCCTTTAGTTTAAGTCCTAAAAGTCAATAGAGGTCTCACTAATCTTTAGACACTTTAGTTCATGTCTTGAAGAGATTCATCTCCAACAATGGAGGTGTCTGTCATCTTCAATGCATTGTCAGTTTTCATGTTTGTCTTTTTTTTATCAATGAGGGGTAATATTGTTATTTGGCTATGAAATTTAATCTCAAATCAGTGCCCCTGATGCCCAGTGATATATTAGTATTCTTGGAGTCTTCTTTTTCATAAAGTCTGGTCAGGGTCTTGAGTGAAATTTTCCTTACAAATATTTAAAATGAACATTACATTTTTTTTTTGGAGAAAAAGGAGAGTGCAGATCAGCTTTTAAGCTGGTGAGCATCAAATGTGAACACGTGTTATGCCTATCTCATGGAGAAATTAATCTACAGTTTGCAGACAAAGACGTGTGTGGTTAAAATATTTTAATATAAATAATCGTTTATTTTAATCCAAAATTTTTCAATCTATATAACTGGTATTTTATATTTTATTACCCTATCAATACTAAAAAAAGACAAACGAACATATTTGAAGAAAGTTGGGAATAAATGTTGAGTGAAAAATTAGCTCCTTGTTTATTTCTAAATGAAGCAAAAGAATATTTTCTGAAGGAAACAAATGAAATTAGGATATTTAATTAAACTATATGATAAGTTGATTAACAATTGACCAAGTTTTCTTAACTTGAACAAGAAAAAAGACTAGCTGCAAAAGAAAATATATAGAATATATTATCCTTATCTTATTTAGATATTCTCAAATAGCAATATAAGCTAGAAGTTTATCATATGGATTCATAAAATATTGCAAGCTATCTATTAGGTCCAAATATTAACCTAGTTGAAGATGCTCCAATTATTATAAAAAAAATGAGACATGCCTGATGTAACAGTCACACCCCCCCGAGCCCACTGCTGCGAGTGGTGGACTGGGCCGTAACCACCTCACGGCAACCCAGCCGGCTTTCCTCCTGGTAGTTCAGGAGTTATTCCCCGCACCCACTGCTAAGGGAGCCTTCCCAGGTTCGATCCTCCAACCTCTCCTACATAGCGAAGTTGAGGCTGAACCTGGTACCATTGAGTCTTAATGGTACCAGGTTCAGCCTCAACTTCACTATGTAGGAGAGGTTGGAGGATCGAACCTGGGAAGGCTCCCTTAGCGCAGTGGGTGCGGGGAATAACTCTTGAACTATCAGGAGGAAAGCCGGCTGGGTTGCCGTGAGGTGGTTACGGCCCAGTCCACCACTCGCAGCAGTGGGCTCGGGGGGTGTGACTGTTACACTTGAAGCGTGAGATGTCAATCAGTTCCAAAAATAAGTATCTTGAAAAAAGAGGAAAAACAATCATACCAAGGAGATGAACACTCTAAAAGAGGGTAAAGACTGCAACATCCCAAAATTTTGACATAAGTGATTGTAGGTGTAAGAAGTTTTGATTCATATGCTATCTTTCCAATTTGGATAGGAACTCAAATGCGAGGAATCTAAGATGTACTCAAGATAAGAGAAAGAGAAAATAAAGAAATCCTTATAGATAAGGAATTTATAGAAAATTTACCTATGTCTAGTTTTATAACATATAATTTATTAGATTATAAATTATGGAAAGTAAGGGCACAAATGGAATTCTCCATTAAAGTATAGAAATGCTTGAGAATACAAAGGAAAATTTAGATAAGAGAATGTCAAATATGGTAAGGATTAAATTGAAAAGATTATTCTTTGTTTTAACCAAATGACATCTTAAGTTATTGGGTGGATTAGAGAGAACCCTAATCATAATAAATAAGTTCAAATTATATTCAATATGCATCAATTTAATATTTTAAGAAGGAGAAGTACAAAACTAAAGATGATATATATATATATATATATAGATTCAAGTCTAATGGATTATTTTATGATAATTGACATTTACATGTATTTGATTGAGAAAAGAAATAACCCAATATAAGATACTAAAATTACACTATTTCCACAAGCCATTAGATTCAGGAGGTAGTGGAAGTTTTATTAAGTCGTAATGACTTTGGGTTAAGTGGCATGAAGATATATTAGAATGAAGTAAGAAGAGTTTAGGTGGAAGCAAGTGGGTTTTTCAGAATGCACTTTCAACAAGGGGAATATATATATACAACCACCCTTTCCCATATTCCTCTAATGCAACTATATTTATACCCATTAGCCTTGTACACATTCTTTCTTTCTTTCCTTCTGCAACCCAAAACCGAGAGATAGTGAGGAAAGTTGGAGAATTATGGGAGGAAGAAAAGAAGAAACTGAAGAACTAGCTAAGTGATTTAAGCTAAGGAGAAGGAAAGAAAAGTTAAAATACACATACGGTAGCAATCTTGCACTTTACTCTTGTATGTATTGGTTGCTTGCGTAAGTTTTGACGTGTTTATGTGCTTTGATTGTTTTTGAAAGAGCTAGTTTTTCCAATGCAAGGCTAAGCAGATTTGAAATCAAGATTCAATATGATGAATGTTCTTCTTTTCCATGATTCTTTTACCGTGCATGATTATGGTTACATGCTTATAAGGCACGTTAATTTATTTGAGCTAATCATGAACATCATAAGTAAATGTAATTTTTTCTACTTAGATTATTATAATCTCACCCTCCAACAATTTATTAACCATGCAAGGATCAAGCTCAAGCAAAGACAACAATTTTTGAAGTTTGATTCCATGGTAAATATTATTGTGCTGAATCTGTATTAATATTTTTACAAGTGCGTGTAAATATGGAGCTGCAAAGTTACTGAAACTTGCTGTGGAAATATGTTAGTTGGTATTTCAAAATGAAAGTTGTTTTATTTTGGTTGCATGTAATGACTCAAAACATGCCAAGTCTACCTACTTATAACCAAATTACCATGTGAATGTTGTTAATGGGTATGCTTGCATAATATTTAGTTTTGTATTGATGCTAGAGTTGGAAAACCATGAGTATTTTTTCCTAGACATAACATGTTTAAAGCTTTAAAATGACACGAACATTACTCTATTTGAGTCAGTAGAAGTTAAGATTTGATTTGTCAAACATGCAAGTTCAGCAATATCGGTAAAAGTTGGCGCCAGATTGGGAGCAAAATTTAACCAAAACTCTATCAACAGAGCCATCCAATTTAAGGATGATTGTGACATTTCGTAAGACCTAATTATTTTTTACATATTTTAGGAAGATTATTTTTTATTTTTGCAACTTTTTTGATAAATTCATAATCATGGATTTTTTGTCTTAATATTTTACTTTTCTTCTTCAAAATAAGACTGCAAACCCCATCAATTCTTTTTGAGATGCTACTGAAAAATTATATTTGTATACTGCCTAATAATATTGACATTATATTGAACAGTGAGAGATACACTGTTATATATATTGGATGGTGATACCATATGGATCGCGAGCTAGCTGCCTCAAAGGGCGTAAAAAGAAGTTGGAGACTACTAATAGCGCGCTATGAAATTTTGGATCACCGCTTGTTTCACAACTAATTAATCATTTTCATTTATTTGAATAATTTTCTTTTCGAAAAACATATATATAAATATGCATCAAGATTTAAAATCATAATTCCATCAAATGCTATCTCCCTCATTCCTTCTTTCCCTAACCTCCCTCACAACGATGGACGACCTTCCTAGAGATTTGAAATTAGAAATCCTTCTTTACTTGCCCATCAAATCTCTCTTGCGACTAAAATGCACCTCCAAATCATGGCTCTCTCTTATCTCTGACCCCTACTTTACCAAATTGCATTTTAAACGATCTTCCCAATGCCCAGGTCGAATCTTTTATCCAGTTGGTTCCGAAATTCTATCCATAGATTTCAACACATCCCTTCACGAAGATTCTGCTATTGTCAAGCTTGACCTTCCCCTTTTAAAACTACACGTTGATGTCAATTTTATATTGTGTTCTTGCCGAGGGTTTATATTTCTTAAGCCTAGAAATGAACCCACAATTTTCCTTTGGAACCCCACCACAAGGGTCTACAAACAAGTCCCAATACCTCAACCACATGACTCCATACTTCTATATGGCTTTTGTTATGATGAGTTCGTTGATGACTACTTAATAGTGCTTGCATCAAAATACAAGACTAGTGATAGTTCATTTTATTTTCTTTCAGGCTTTGATGTCTTCTCTGTTAGAACCAACTCATGGGAGAAACATGTATTTGGCCAACTTATCATCACTTCAAATAATTCGCCATCTATTGGTTCCATCTCAAACAAAGCTATTCATTGGATAGTTCGGATTAATCCATCATATGGAGAGAAACGAGAAGAACTGATTGCATTTGATATTACAAAAAAGAAGTTACAAGAGATTCCTTTGCCCCATGAGTTAGAGATTGAATTGTTGAGAGGAATATATACTTTGTACGTACATGAAGGATGCATCGGTCTGGTCGTCAGTGGGATTTTCGCAGATGAGATATGGGTCATGAGGGAGTATGGCGTGAAATCATCTTGGACTAAGATTTTCTCTAGGCCTTTTAATGGAGAGCGTGTATATAATTGCATATTTCCATTATCCCCAACCAAAGATGGGCAACTTGTTGCAGTGTATAACCATAGATTAACAAAATGGAGTGAGAAAGGAGAATTGCAAGAACACTGTCCATATTTCAACCAAGAAAAAATAGAACGTCATTCACCATGTTGTTGTAGTGACTCTTTTTACCCAGCAGCTGCCTACGTTGAAACTTTACTTTCTCTCCCTTGAGTTGCTTGATCAGGTACATAATTTATCTCATCCTAGTATTTTGATAAAGATTAACTTAGATATACCATTATTATGTTTCTTCTTTGTTTTTCATATTAAGGATTGCATAAAACGGTAATATATATATATATATATATATATATTTGTGTGCATGCATGTGCTGTGGAAAACTTGAAGAGATCTGACAATAATTAATGTTGAAACACATTTTAATTTAGAAATCTATGGCAGAAAGATTCCTAAAACTTCTATCATTTGTGTCCTTGACATTGTTAACCATAAATATGATTGTTACATTTTTTTTATTTAATTTCACACAAACATTAATGTATTTTTTTTTTTGGAGCTTTCATGTTGCTATTCTTAGCATACATTCTAATTTTTGTAATGGCAGGACGACAAGACAAAACAGCCTTTGTAATGATCTTCTCATGCCGCGTAGCTTAATTATGAACAAATCAAGATTCGTCCTTTAGTAGATTGAAGCCAGGAATATCACATCTTTAATTTGTATCTTTAATCTCTTTTTCCTTGAGAAAGGCGTTTTATTTTCCTAATTTAATTTTCATGACTATGTTTCACTTAGTCATTTGAAGGTTGGTTTACTATTGCTCATTGTTAAGTTTTGTCATTAAACATGAACAAGAAATTGTCATCACAAAAAAATCAACTTTCTCAACAGTATCAAAATTAGCCGCGAGGAAAGTTTTCAATGGTTATAATATATATATATATATATATATAATCTTCATAATGTCGTTATGAAAGTTTCTATTGCTAATTTTTATATTGACTACAAATGAATGTTTCCATTAAAAGTTTTCCTTTTAGCAACAATACAAGAAAGAAACCATAGTGACTAGAAATTTGTCATGATGATATTTAGTCACTATTGAATGCCATGTTTTTAGTGGTGACCTTTTTTTGTTGTCAATAAAAGTTTTAGAGCTTAGTTAGATTAATGTTTACACAGAACTATATTTTGCATAAACAATAGTTTGCAAATTAAAGTTGGGTTAAAATTATAATGTCATTTATATTTTGATACTCTTCTCCAAAAAGTCAATTTAACAAATCAAAATTTGATTATTTGATATAATTAAAAAATAAGTTTAAATATATACTACTACAAAAAAGGAAATAATATATGGTTATTTTTGCCTATATTAGATGGTTATGTCATTAATGTGTCTTTCAAGGATATTAATAAAATAATGGTGAATCAAAGTTAAGGAATAAAAATAATATATACCTCAAGAATTTGACTAGATGACTAGGCCACAGTGCAACTATCCATCTTGCTAGGGCTTATGTGCTCAAAAGGTGACTTCCTAGAATTGTTAGCCCTAAGTAGTGCCTCAATCATTTTTTGATGCACTTTCACTTGTTGTTTTAAAGCATTAAACTCAGTTGAAGAGGGCACATCTTTTGGAGTCTTTTTTTCCACTATTTGTTTCCTTGAGGCCCCCATGCCAACACCCCTAACACGACCTAGGTGATCACAATTCTCCAATGCCTTTTCTAAGACATCTTCGTCTTAGGGAAGCTTGCCTTTAGAAACTTCTTCTAAGATGACACTCTATTCATCATAATTTGGAAAACAAAAGTTATTAACATAGCAATTATTAACATTTTATACAAAGTTGAGAATGAAAGTACTTACAACTTTTTTAGCAAGTTCTCGAACATGTTCATCCACATAATTGCCATCTTTATCAGTCGAACCTAATATAAAGAGTATGGCCTGTGATATAGAGCTCTCTAGTGTGCCCTTTTCATCAATCTATGCATTAAAATACATCAGTGACATCACATATTGCATATCAATTAATAAATTCAAAACATACCACTTATTGCTCAATTCTTGAATACCCTAAGTGCCCTTTTAAGAAAGGGAAGAGATTTTTTACCCTCAACTCTTTATTCTTTTGGCTCAGTTCCTAAAAAAATTAAATAAAAAGTACCATAATTCTAGTGATCAATTCATATAAAATTATTACATAAAATATCATGATCCTTACCAAGAATTATTTGTTAAGGCACCTGGCAATAAAAGTATCCCAATGCTCTTGTTTGACAATAGGTCTTATCAACTTAGGGACTGTAGGACTAATATGGCCACCGGCATGAGTTATGTATTTTAATCCTACAAAATATTAGAATGCTTGATGTGCCTTATATGCTACTTCCGTGACAAAATACCTTCGATTGGCATCAATCTCAAATGCTGACTACTCAATCAACAAATTTAAGATATAAGTTAGAAAATTGACATGATAATATAATAAACTAATTAATATTATAAATACATATATATTAACTCAACTTGTTCCCATATGAAATCCATGGAGGCTGAATCTATATCATACTAACTATTAATTGATAATCCTAAATGCCCTTTGGTCACAGCCTCGATATAGCTAACAAATTTATGCTTATTAGTCCTAATTGGTTGACCCTTTGAATTTCACTGAAGAGAATATTTCTGTCTAGCCAACCGTCTTTGATTAACCTCACCCATCAATACCAAGCCTTTCTTAATTGATGAAGCCACAGTTTCTTAAGCATTTTTAGCCATAGGTTGACTGGTGGATGTAAAGGGATGATCACCTATCAACAGGTCAGGAAGTGAGTTAGTTGGCGAGGTAGGGGGTGAACTGGTGGCACTTAAAGGATTATCAAATAGGTTATTGGTCAGAATGAGGTCACCAAGTCTCCTAGGTTGTATTTTGGGAGCCATTTACCTATAATGAAATAGTTCAAAGATAAAATATAAATAGTAATTAATAAAATTAAAATACACAAGGCATAAATAAAACACAAATAGTAATTAAGAAAACCACAAGATTAAGTTAATCTTTTTCTTTTCCTCGTCATCTTTTAAACTTTTTCTACCTTGATAGCTCGATTTAATTTCTTAATCTTCTTTTTCATTCTTTTATCCTTTTTTGAAATTCAAATACCTTTATTGTGATCATGTCTTATATAGTTAGCACTATCTTCAATGAGATTGCTTTCAAGCGCAGTCTCCTTAAATAGATCATTCTCAACAAAATCAATCATCTCTCTAATTATTTTGTTTGACAATAAAACAATGGACCAATTTTGCTTTACAAGATCAAGAATATAGAATACTTGTTTATCCTGCGATGCCAAAATAAAAGGCTCATCTTTATTTTCATGCCTTGTAAGATTCACTTGTATGAACCTAGATGAAGCATCAATTTAAAGGTCACTTTTATAATCAACCCAATTACAACTAAAGATCGAAGCTTTAAATTTATCATAGTCCAACTCCCATATGCTTTTAATCACTCCAAAATATTACATTGATCCATATATAGGATTTTTGTCTTTCACACTGGAAATATACATCACTTCAGCTATAAGAGTTACACCATTATTCTGTATTATGCTCCAATCATCCAGCTCTTTAGTGTTGAATGTGTATCCATTAATTACATAGCTATTATAAGAGACAACTTGTATGTTTAGACTCATAGACAACCATTTTACTCTTTCAAAAACAGAATTATGATTAAAATTGCACTTGTTAAAAACATGCTTTTTTAACCAATCTATGAAATGTTTATTATGTTCTTTCTCATACCAAGTTTTAGTTCTTCCAGGATTATCCTTCCTAATGTTGAACTTATGCTTGTCTGCATACTCGCCAACATCTTTAGAGTTATTCAACACATACAGGTGTGCTTGCTTCCTAATGGTTTTTGGAGATAGTAACTAATTTAATCCTCTTCATTCCTTCTCCATTTTCTCTTCTCATATGCCTATCTACTGGAATCTCAACATATTTGCCATCTCTCAAGTACTCTTGATAGAATTCAACAACCTCTTCACTAATGTACCTTTCAACAATGCAACCTTCAGGTCTACTTCAGTTTTTCATATACCCTTTTAGTACTTTCATGTTACGTTTAATCAGGTACATCCATATCAAATAAGCTAGGTCACACATTTATACCTCCTTAACTAAGTAAATAGTAAGGTGTTCCCATTATGTCAAAAAATGCAAGTGGGAAATACGTTTTAAGTTCACATAATGTCCTTATAATTCAATCTTGTAACCTTAACAATTTGTGAGGGTTGATCACTTTGCTATAAATAGACTTAAAAAAGAAACACAGTTTAGTTATCACATTATGTACTCCATTGGGTAAAATAAAATATATTGCTATTGGAAGAAAATTTTCCATCAAGACAAGATAGTCTTGAGATTTTAAACCTTTCAACTTTAAGTCTTTCATTGACACAAGATTTTTCACATTGGAAGAGTAACCCTTTGGAACTTTAATTGCACCAAGAAATTCAATAATGACCTTTTTTTCTTTTTTGGACAATGCATGAGCTGCTAGACGAAGAAATGTATGACTTCCATTCTCCTCTAGTGCCAAGTCTTCCCTTATACCCGTAGAAACCATGCCTAGCCTCATTTTTATGCCATCTTTGCTCTTTTCTGGAATAAATAGTAATGTACCAATAATGCTTTCACACACATTTTTTTCAATGTGCATTATATTAAGAAAATGCTGTACATCCAAGGTCATCCAATATGGCAAATGAAAGAAAATATATCTTTTCTTCCACCCACATGTACTAACGTACCTTATAAAAGGTTTTCCAAATTTAATACCCAAATTCTTAACCTTTTCAAATAGCTGATCATTGGATAAGAATGGAGGTAGCCTACCTTCTTCTAGATTACCATCAAAAGATTTTCTTAACCTTTGATAGTAATATTGTTGAGGTAACTATCTATAATGTCCCATGTAGCCATTTTTCATATTATGTTGACTATGTGCTATCTTCACAAATATGGCATCTAAGTTTTCCTTTGATCCTATGCCCAGACAAATTATCATATGCCAAAAAGCCATTGATTGAGCCAAACAATATGGCTTTCAAATTAAATGTTTCCTTCCTATACATATCATACATTTCAACCCCAATCACAATAGCTTCAAATCTTTAATTAGAGGAGCCAAGTATATGTCTATATCATTTCCTAGTTATTTTAGCCTAGAAATTAACATGGACATCATCAAATACTTGCGCTTCATGCATAGCCATGAAGGTAGATTATAAATAATTAACATCACTGACCATGTACTATGAGTACTACTTTACATGCCATGTGGATTCATTATATTGGTAGCTAGTGTGAGGTGTAGGTTTCTAGAATCTTTCACAAAGTTTGGGTACTCTCGATCAACCTTTTCCCATTATATAGAGTCAATAAGATGCCTTAGCATACCATCTGTAATCCTCTCATTTTGTATGCCATGTCAAATTTTTTGAATCTACTATACTGCTATACAAGCATTTAAACCTAGGCATAATGGGAAAGTACCATACCACCTTCTCTGGACTCTTTTCATTATCCTTATAATGTGATGCATTACATTTAGGACACTCAGTTAATGATGCATATTCATTTCGAAGCAAAGTGCAATCCTTAGGGCAAGCATATATCTTCTCATAACTCATGCCTATAG